TAACTCAAACTGTTGTGTATTTAACTTGAATCATTAAATTTTGCCACAATAGGCTCCATTCTTAATTATGGGTCGCCTATAACCCAGGCATTCTCAACCCAAGGACTGCTTGTAAGAGGAAATGGATATCTTTTTGGAAGGAACTCTGTGAATTCTTAAATGCAACCTAAAGGCCATGAGAACACTTAATAGTTTTGATATTAAGTATAAATAATAATTCAGAATTATATCCAATAGTTTAGATATATTCCATTACATTTATAACTGTTTGTTAGGCCCAATCCAAAGGAGTAATCAAAAATCATTTTTTTAAAAAATATTTAAATGGCAGTAAAAGCACAAATGTGTTTGCCCATTTAGCAAGAAGACAAAAAACCCTTTTGGTCTTTGCTTATCTTCATTGACATTCGGTAGTCATATCTTGAATATAGGGTTGAGATTATATCTTGTTACATTGGTTTGAAGCCAGCATTTGTACTATAAAATAAAGGATATTATTCTTTAATACTAACATGTTGGAATATTTAAACTTTTTAATATTACATGGGTTGTTCTAAGGTTTTTTAATTTAAATTTCCTTTTAGGTCTTCAGTACATGGGGTTTCATTTGATATTTCTTTTGATAAAGAAGACAGCATCCATATGACACCTCCAAATAGAGGAATTACGAGATCTCTTAGCAATGAAGGCCTTGTACAGAATACTAACCATATGCCAAGACACGTTAAAAAGAATATATCTTTCAAGCCTCTAAATGATGAAGAGGACAGTGAGGATATTGAAGAAGAAAAAGATGTAGAATTTTACAGTGATCTGGAAGCAGACAGCAATCAAAGAAATGCCAACCAAGTTAACACATACACCCTACCAAATGGAGCATTGCAAAACAGGTTGGTTACTGATGAATTTGGCAATCAAATTGAGACACCAAGCATTGAGCAGGCTTTGCAGATTATCCATGATAGTGAGAAATCGGCCAATATTACTCAACCAGCACAATTTACAAATGGGTTTTTCCTTCACAACAAAGAGATGAGCATCCTAAATTCAAACATAAAACCTAACCAAAGTAGCCCTGATATTATCGCAGATACAAAAGGTGCCCTCAGTCCTGTAACTGATAACACAGAAGTAGATACTGGAATACATGTCCCTTCAGACATTCCAGAGACTATGGATGAAGATTCTACTTTAAGGGATTATACAGTAAGCCTGGATTCCGATCTGGAAGAATCATCTCGGTTTCTGCATGAATGTGACAGCAGAGGCGTCAACCATAAGGAGCAATTGAGTCCTTGTCCAAGCTCAATAAGTGCCAAATCTCAAGCTGGCAGTAGTCCATCTTCAAGTTCAGGAGTTAGAATGACCAGCTTTGCAGAGCAGAAATTTAAAAAGATGAATCACACTGACAGCAGGAGCAGTGGAAGCAGTTCTCAGAAAACCACCCCAGAAGGCTCTGAGCTGAACATTCCACACATTGTTTCTTGGGCTCAAATACCAGAGGAATCCCCTCTCCCTCAGGGAAGGGACACAACACAGTTGCTGGCCTCTGAAATGGTGCAACTGAAGATGAAACTGGAAGAGAAGAGGCGAGCAATTGAAGCCCAAAAGAAGAAGGTTGAGGCTGCATTCACAAAACAAAGACAAAAGATGGGAAGAACGGCATTCCTTAATGTTGTGAAAAAGAAAAGTGATGGGATTTCACCACTTCGAGAAGAAGCAGCTGGAGCAGAAGGTGAGAAAGTGTTCACTGATAACAATAGAGTGAAAGAAAAAGAAAGCCAGAAGTCAGGTGAACAACTAAATAAGACATCTGAGGTCCTAAAAGCAACCACTGAAACTCCCTCAACTATGTGGCTGAAGTCGCCAAACACCCCAGTTGATGCTGAGAAGCAATCTAATTTGATAAGTCCCTCAGAAGAGAATTTAAATGAAGGTGATCTTTTAGAATATACAAAATCTATTGAGAAGCTCAATTCTTCTCTACATTTCCTGCAACAGGAAATGCAACGCCTGTCACTTCAGCAAGAGATGCTAATGCAGATGAGGGAGCAGCAAGCGTGGGTTATTTCACCTCCTCAACCTTCTCCTCAAAAGCAAATTCGGGAATTGAAGCCTTCAATGAGGCTTAGTGGATCATCATCTCCCATTGTTCCATTTTCAGTAGAAGCACCTCGGCCATCCCACCAATCCCCACAGTCTTCTTCTAGGAAGAATTCGTCTCTCCCAAGTAAAATGCAAAGGACTCCAAGACCAAATGAATTGAAAATTACACCTTTGAATCGCACTTTGACTGCCCCACGATCTGTGGATAGCCTTCCACGTTTGAGAAGATTTTCTCCAAGCCAGGTTCAAACTAGATCTTTTGTTTGTTTTGGGGATGATGGTGAGCAGAACCCTGTGAATGAAGTAAAAAACATAACTCAAGAAGCTGCTGACAAGGTAGAAGCAAGTGAAAAAGATTCTGAGAAACAAGAGACTGAAGAGATAGTTGGGCAAAAATCAGAAGAAGAACAGATGAGACCTCTGGAATCCATGGTATCTGAAGTATTGTCACAGCCCATTACAGAAATTGTCTGCCTTACTCCAAATGAAGAGCCTTTGACTCCACCAGTGTTGCCACCACCTGCAATTAAAACTGCTAACCTCATAGAAGTTTCTCTCACAGATTTGAAGCCACCAGAGAAGTCAGAAGAGTCCGTTGAGAAATCAGAGGGTGAGAGTGACAAAGAACAACCAGAGGATGACCAAAAAGTGTGCTGTGGATTCTTCTTCAAGGTAAGTGAATGGATACATCACAATCTGTTTGGACACCTGAATTCTGGTAAGAAATGCTGCATCAAATAATGGTGCTGTGGAAAAAAATGAATATTTTTTACTCACTATTAGATTGTCCTTTACAGTAGTTTTTCAAACAAGATACTGTATTTAGGATATTTGGGGAAAACAAGAATTATGGAATAAATTAATTCTAAAATAATAGGGATTTTGTTTCTCTGAAGGATAGGTTTTCCAGCTATGCTAATATTAATTCTATCTTCTAATATTGGCTATTTGGAGCTGTATTTAAGATCATGGGCACCATTCCAGAGAATGAAGAGTTTAAAGGAGCAAAAGAGGTGCATTATGCTTCACATACCTTATTTTGAACTTTTTGTGGGCAAAATCAGGTGGGACAGTGGCAGTTTCATTCCCAAATTTAGTAGCACAATTGGGGAGATGGTATGGGAACTACATGAGGTCAACAGGTTGCCCTCTCTGGATTGCACAGTAACTAAAGTCTAAATGATAATTTTAAAATATTATTTATTGTTACTAGGATGATCAAAAACCAGAAAATGACATGGCTGTGAAACGGGCAGCATTATTGGAAAAGCGATTAAGAAGAGAAAGAGAAACTTTACTTCGAAAGCAGCAATTGGAAGCAGAGATGGAGCATAAGAAAGAAGAAACAAAGTAAGATTAAATGCACATGCTACTTGTTCTGAAAGAAAGATTACTTTTTAAAGTTAGGCTGTTAAAATAAACATGAGTAAAAATTTGGAAGCACTAGCCACATAAGTTAGCAACCAGACTTGGGGAACTTTGAATTTGTTTAAATTGTAGTTGTTCAACAAATTAGGATCTGAAGCAACCATTTTATTCTGGGTTATTCTCACTAGGGCTGTGCATGCTTAGAAAATTATTCAGAATCATTTGGACCTTGAATTATCACAACTACAGCTTCTCTCTGCTGTTCATTAAATCAGCTCATGTTTTTTTTTCAGGTTTTCATGCTAAGACTTGCATCAACTTTAATAAGTCGACTCCTTAGGCTTACATTAATTGATTGTGTGGCATCAAGTCACTGTCAACTCTTAGTGACCACATGGATAGATTTTCTCCATGATGATCTTGCCCTAACATGGTCTTCCAATGGCATACCCATTGCCACTATAACTGAGTGCATCCACCTTGCTGCTGGTCGCCCTCTTCTTTTTTCTTCCACTTTTCCCAGCATTAGAGTCTTCTCTAGAGAAGTAGGTCTTTGCATAATGTGTCTGAAGTAGGCTAATTTGAGCCTGGCCATTTGGGCCTCAAGTGAGAACTCTGGGTTGATTTGTTCAGTGATACATTGGTTTGTTTTCTTGGCTGCCATGGCATTCTCAGGAGCCTTCTCTAACACCAGAGTTCAAAAGCATCAATACCCTTCCTAACCTGCTTCACAGAAGCCTGAAAAAAGATAGGCTCCTTTAATTAATAGAGAGGTGCCATGTTCTGGCAGGATCCGAAGCACATATTCTGAATCATTTTCAAACTTGTGCATAGCCATAATTCTATACTAATAACAGTTTGGATAAATCAAGGATTCCAAGTTCAGATGTGTTGGGGAGCTATCAGTGTTTAAAAATCAAGAACAGATTATTTCAACCTCGAGCATGCAAAAGAGGAGCAAAATGAAGAATGAAAGCCAAAAAATTGTGCACATCAAAAGAAGCCATGGTCTCCTTATTTCTGATTCTGGCCCATGGATTTATTTTGACAAATTCTGCACAAGAAACACATTCATGTTAATTATTATCATGTATATTTAGCCAATTTAGTATACAAACTCCCATTTTCCTTCAAAAACCCATAGTTCTTTCCGTTTAGTTTTACCAACTAATTCCCTTAGTTTTCTCAAACTGAGATCTGCTTAGTGTAACAGTGCAATCTTCAGCAATCTAATGCATTTAAGATGTACTGGTCTTCAGTTCCCATAATCCTCAGCCAGCATAGCCAGCTGGAAGGCACCAAATTGGGGAAGGCTGCCCCACATCATTTTCTGTTCTCCTACATGCCAACTTTTAAGGAGCCTTTTATCCCAGTGTCTATCTGATTGCAAAGTAATCATATGCTTCCAAATGGAAAATTCAGTATTCTAAGGCATATTTTACACCTAATTAAGAAAAAATAGAATGTTAAGATAACCCATTTCTCTTCAAACAGTAGTGTTATGCAAAATAAAAAATTTGATCCTCATAAGTATTCAGTGGTTGATATCACAATGCATCATCATGTGTTAAAATTGGCCATTAGGGGACTGTCTGAATATTTATTTAAACGTAATGCTGCTGGGCCAGCGTGCCAGCATGAATGTTCACACAGGCCTTAAATTAAGCATGGTAATGTAAGCTAAATTTATACCAGTACTTGAAAATTAAATGTGGCCTGGTTATTAGGCATCACTTGTGATCATCAGCAGTGTTTTTCTGAGTATGTGAAATTTTATAACCATATTGAAATTTCAAGGAGGAAGTCTGAGGAAGAACGTCAGAAGAAGGAAGATGAAAGAGCACGACGAGAGTTTATTAAGCAGGAATATATGAGGCGGAAGCAACTGAAACTAATGGAAGACATGGACATTGTCTTAAAGCCTCGCCCTCACTTTTCCAAACAAAAGAAGGCACGTCCAAAATCCATTCATAGGGATCACATTGAGTCACCTAAAACTCCAATCAAAGGTCCTCCAGGTAATAACTGCTTCCAGAAGAGGACATATTTGTGCCATTGCACAAAGCTAGGGCATATAATTTTTTAAAATCTATAATCCAGGGAATATAAACCTTATAAAACCTGTTATACCATTTTGCTTTTGTGGGGCTTAAATGTTTTGGGGATAGACTGTTTCCTTTTTTATGACACAGTTACTTAATAGTTTGTGAGCCCTTTTGAATTTTCAATATTTCTGCACAAATATGTAAAACGTAATCTAGAAAAAGAGAACCCAGTTAAACAAATGAGTCAAAAACATTATACTTGTTCATTTATTTATTGAGGAAAATGATTCAGTGCTACATATTTGTGTGTGGCAAAAGTATGTGAACCTTTGCTTTCAGTAACTTGTGTTGCCCCCTCCCCCCTTGAGTAGCATTTCATTCAAGCCAAAAAGTTCTATTTTGGTCTCATCCATCCACAGAACATTCTTCCACTAGCCTTCTGGCTTATCCTCATGGTCTTTTGCAAACAGTAAATGGGCCACACTGTTCTTTTTGGAGAGAAGTATTTTCTTCTTGTAACTCTGCCACGCCCACCATTGTTGTTCAGTGTTCTCCTGATGGTGGTCTCATGAACCCTGATATTCATCACTGCAAGAAAGACCTTTAGTTCCTTAGACATTACCCTGGGGTTCTTTGACACCTCCCGAAGTATTACACATCTTGCTCTTGGTGTGATCTTGGTTGGTTGACCACTCCTGGAGAGGGTAACAATGGTGTTGAATTGCCCCCATTTGTACACAATCTGCCTGACAGTGGACTGGTGGAGTCCAAACCCTTTGGAAATAGTTTTGTAACCTTTTCCAGCCTGTTGAGCATCAACAACTGTTTTTCAGAGGTCCTCCGAAATCTCCTTTGTTAAAGCCATGAAACACTTCTACACACCTATGTTGTGAAGATCAGATTTTGATAGTGAATACCCAGTTCTTTAAATAAGGCAGGACCTCCCACACTCACACCTGATTATCATCCTATTGATTAAAACACCTGACTCTAATTTCCCCTTCAAATGAACTGATAATCCTAGAGATTCACATACTTTTGCCACACACAAATATGCAGCTTTGGATCATTTTCCTCAACAAATAAATGAACAAGTATAATGTTTCTGACTCACTTCTTTAATAGGATTCTCTTTATCTAGTTTTAGGACTTGTGCGGAGAACAGATCATATTTTAGGTCATAGTTATGCAGAAATACTGAAAATTCAAAAGGGTTCACACACTTAAAAGGACCACTGTATAAAGTTAAAAGCAGTTAGTTTACTATATTGTGCATATCAAAATTAACTTTGACTCATGGTGAAGATCAATAAAGATGTCGTTTTTCTTTCAGGTATGCACTTTTATGTATGGTGCATTGCACTGCATTAATGCTTTAGTGATGTTGAGCAGTTTTTTCAGTCCCAATAACCCCATGCCTTACGGTAGATTGGTCAGGAGCTAGCTGCAAATCTGTGCACCTAACACCCACCCACAAACATATATAGAGATCCATATGCATGCAAAGTTTCACTCTAGTGAGTTAATGAATAGTAGATACCTCTTTATCCATCACAGAAACTCCCAAAGATTGACTTGCTGATGGGGGCTATTTTCAGCTTGCTGGGGATGGTTTAAATCTTCCCCAGTGATTTTTCCCATCTAGCAATGACTGTTCCATTAAGCAGCAGGGAACAATAGGCAAACTTATGTGGACTACAGAAGGCAAACCCAATGAGTACAAAGTGCTCATGCTTGGTTTTGTTCAGTCATTCGGTCACTTCTGATTCTTCATGACCTGATGGATGTCACTTCTGGATCATTTAGTTGCTCCACATTCCATTCTAACTGTTGCTTCCTGATTATCATACAAATTATTTAACAGCAGATGAGATGGCCCAGTTCACCTATGTCTTTAAGAGCTATCCTAAATTCATTGTGGTCTACACAGTCAAAAGCCTTTTTATAACCAATAAAGCAAATTCAGTGTCCTTATGGAATTTCCTTGCGTTTTCTATTATCTATCAAAAGGTAGCATTGTGGTCTCAAGGGCTTATCCTCTTCTGAATTTATCTTGTACATCTGGCCGTTCTCATTCCACATATTGAAATCTGGATAACAAAATCTTAAGCATAACCTTATGAACAAATGCTTAGTTTAGAACAACCTAAATGTATTTTTGATTTCTCTTTTAGTGATTTGCCATATTATATACGTCAAAAAAAATATTAATGAAATGTGCAGGGTATGTATACAAACATGCAGTTTATAGGACCAGTAAAAAGAGAAAGTAATTATTAAACATTGAGATAGCTTCCCTCATGGATAGTTGCAGGGTGTGTCTTGATTGTTTTAAACTTCCTTGTATTTACACAAGTTTATAACTGACTATGTCAATGTTTTTATTTCCTCTTCTCAGTATCAAGCCTTTCTCTAGCATCACTAAACACAGGAGATAATGACAGTATGCAATCAGGCAAGAGAACACCAAGGTAAATCTTCAATTAACCATTTCTTTTTAATAGAAATTATCTTAGCTGAATAGCACAATGCTGTCCATAACATAAGTTATAGGTACATTAAACTGGATGTCAAACACCTATGTTGAGATAATTCACCACTTTAGGTTACCATATTACCATATTCATTGTGTATGAGTGTTGTAAACAGTAAAAATAGCTCTTTATTTTTTATTGCTTTACAAGAAACAAGAAAAGAAGAAACCTGCAAACAAAACAGAAAAATATGGAACCCTTAGTGCTCCCTGAGCTTGGCTATTTGCTTGTAGACATTTCATTACCCAACTAGGTAACATCATCAGTGCGAGTGAGTGTGGGGTTTGCTCCCTGTTTATATATAGTATCTTGTCCTGCCCGTTTTGGTGGGGTGTGGTTTTCTCCTTGGTAGTTCCTTGATTAGGGTATTGTTTTCTGCTTGATTGTTTGCCTGGTGTTAATC